GTCTGAATGAATTTTGAAGCTTTGACGTTTCATTAAATTATTTTCTTTTCCTTTTCTTTTTTTCTTTTCTTTCCCTTTCCCTCTCTTTTTTTCCCTCCCCCTTTTCTCTGTTTTCCCGACGGCAGCGGAATTTTACCGACAATATCCTGACAGGTGGGGGGTGTCGCACCCCCACAACCCCCTTTGGAGACGCCCCTGCATGTGACGTCACACATCTCAGCAGCGATCGGAGAGCTTTTTAGGTGCTATATGCCGGGGCTGTATTTAAGTATGTTGTAATTGATAATAATCATAATTTCGAATGTTTCCAAGCATTGAATTTTGATAACCTTGTCCAATCAAATTTTCACCTTTGCAATAATGAAAATAAAGTTTGTTTTTAAAATCAATCACATTCTCATTAACATAAACAAGCATGCTTAGAATTTTTGAAAAATAAGCTAAATTCCGACTCAGTTTTGCACAACCGATAATTAGAATGCAGTCAGTCAAACCCACCCCCCCCCCCCCCCAGAGAGCAAAATGTTGTAGGGCCCATCTGGGTTTTATTTGGTTACAACTGGGCTGGCCCACTTGGCCCAAAATGGCCCAGCCCACTTGGCCCATTTGGCCCAGATGGGTCCCAGATAGGCCCCTTGTGTGGCCCAGCAATCTGCACCCGGGTTATAGAAGGGCCCCAGATGGGCGGCCCAGATGGGCCCCACAATTGGCCCATTAATATACACAAGGGTTACCTATTTGTTACATGTGGGTTTTATGTGGGACCTACCACATTCTATATATGGGTCAAGTGGGTTCTATATGGGCCCCATATGGGCTATAAGCAGGTTTTTATATGGGATCCATATGGGCCAAAGTGGTTCTAAATGGGCTTCATATTGTTTAAATGGGTTCTTTTTTTACCCAGTTGAATTCATTTATCCCATTTCAATTTCCAGGGTTACCACTTGGGTAACTAGACCAGTCGTACCATTTGGCACAACTTTCAACCAGTTGAAAGCTCCAATTAGCAGACTTAATTAGTATGTTATGTAACACTTGTACTAATTAATTTTGCCATTGGCAACAACACATCGTCTAAAATTTCCAATGTAAAGGCATTGGTGTTGAGAAGACTTGGATAATTTTGCTGTGATGGGACATTTCCATTTACTTGTATTTTATTGAATCTGTTTTAGTTCATAGTTAGTGTTTTTCCTAATTCACGTTTAATTAAATGTAATTTATAAAAAGTAGTGAAATGTCCTAATAATTAGCAATTTACAGTTTGTAGTATTTTCGAAATGAATTGCACATAACCAAATCATCAGTAATTAGGAAATATCCTGTAAATTCGAATAAATTGTAAAAAAACATAGATGTGCACGCACCCCATATTCATTATGCAAATTCTGGGATGTATTTGTGGGTTTCGGGTGGGAAGGCCCATCTGGTATACATCTGGTTTTTAGCTGGGCCCGGCCGATGCTCGATGTGCAACTTTCACCACCAAAAGACCCACATGGGGCCCATATTGGGCCAACATGTGTTGGTATACATGTGGGATTTGGGTGGGAATGCCAATATGGGTTTTTTATGGGCCACGTGGGCTCCATGATTTTTAACTTATCATAAACTTAAAAAAATAAAATAAAAATAATTATAGTATTACAAAGTTTTGGTATGGGGTCATGAATTTGGTTCAAATTAACATATTGGAAGCATATACGTTCCTACAATATACACTGATCGTTGTCGCGGTTGAAATCGAGTCTAAAGTTATGAAATTATAAATAATAAACTCTTTATGTTGTATAGCTCCCTCTCAAGGTCAAGATATTAATTTAGCTATGAAACAATGACTAAAATCGACCGATTAGCTATTCCCGTTTTTAAATTATATATCCCAACTACATATTCTGAGATTTTCATGGTCGCATCTACCATTGTACGGCCATAGGCGCTATTTGAAATTTGTCAAAATTTACCGGGAGCACCGGTAAATTTTTATATTCAATTTTTCTCGAAAACAGAAGTGTTTTAGGGGCAATTTTTTGTAATGCTTAGAAAACATCCACAGGGGCATCCAAATATATCAAAATAAGATTCACTATCCACCCAATTTTCAAAATCTCCCAAAACTTTGTATTACCTTTAAATTTAAAAAAAAAAAGATTATAATTATCAAAAAAATCATTAAAAAAAAAAATTATATAAAAAAAAAAATTATTAAAAAAAAAAAAAAAAAGAAGACTTATTTAAAAATAAAAATCGGTGGTATCGATCGCCGATATCGCGTGCATCCAGTAAAAATAATTACATGGTAATTGACCAATCAGATTGCTGGGATTCTTCTACCCATCATAATACCATTTCCTTGTCTTTCTCGCTTTCTTACCCGGCTTCTCTCTCTCTCTCTCTCTCTCTCTCTCTCTCTCTAGCTCTCTCTCTCTCTCTCTCTCTCTAGCTCTTTCTCTTCCTTTTCTCTCAGTCTTAATTCTTCTCTTCTCTTTTCTATTTTCTTCCCCTTTCCTTCCTTTCTCCTTTCTTTTCTCTTCTCCTTTCTAGTTTCTCTTCTCCTTTCTTTTTTCATCTACTTTTTTTTCCTCTTTTTTTTTTTGCGCCGCCAATAGCGATATGGAAGAGATAAAAGAGAAAGGAGACAACTAATAGTCAGGTCTTGACTGATTGCCATTACAACAAAAAACAACAACAACTGTTAGTGTTACTGTTAGTGTTAGAATTATAGACGTGATCTATCATCTTCACCTGGTATTTACGGGCTACTACGGAAAAGCCATCCAAAGAGATTTGGATATCATAATATAAGATCAATACAAAAAAGGGGGCGGTGGTAACATTTTTACACCTGAGACAAATATAAATTTTGCTTGAAATAAAACTAAGGACGCCTACACTGGCGTACCTATGGGGGGGGGGCAGGGGGGGCAGAGTGCCCCCCCTGACAGGCTCCAGGGGAAAAAAGAAAAAGGGGAAAGAAAAGAAAAGAAAGGAAAAGGAAAGAAAAAGAAAAAAGGAAAAGGGAAGAAAAAAGGAAAGAAAAAGAAAAAAGGAAAAAAAGGAAAGAAAAAAGGAAGAAGAAGAGAAAAGGAAGAAAAAGGGAAAAGAAAAGGAAAAGAATAAAAATGGGGAAATTTAAAAAAAAAAAAAACATGGCCGTACGCACCAGGGGGGGGGGGCAGTTGACCCCAGATATTTTGAAAACGTACATTTTTTTTCCTGAAAATGTAGTGTAGGCCTATACCAAATCCTTCAATTCTACTTTTGAAAATGCAAAAGTACCCTCATGACCAGTTCGGTCGCTCGAACTCCCTTCACTCCTTTTGCTTTTGAAATTCTTCGAAAACTTTTAACGCATCTTTCCCCCTCCCCCACCAGAAAAATATTCCGCATACGGCCCTGAAAAATTAAAACAAATGAAAATAGGAAAATATAAGTGATATAACAAATTTGAAACTCTTCGCTGGCGCGAACTGCTTGCTAGCCTATTTTGTATTAAATGTTTTCACTTGCTCGTCCCCCTGAAAAAAGAAAAGGATTAGTATTGCCTAGAATACAATTGTGCCTGCCCCGACGGGCCCCGACCTGCAACCATGGCAACAATAACACACAATATATGTACCAAATGTTACTAAAAGAGACTAATTCATTTTTCTCGCTCGCTACACTCACTCGCGAATAAAATAAATAGACATTGCTTTGGAAACAATTGTGCCCACCCTTGACCTGCAACAATATCATTAAAAATGGAAGAGTTTTTTCGCCCTCTCGCCAAAAAGGAATTGAATCGCGTTAAACGCGATTGCGTCCATCTTGACCTGCACCAATAAAAACAAGTTTATTTATTAATTTCTATTAAAAGAGAAATTTTTTTTTGTTGCTTGCTCGCTATTCTCGCTCGCCAAAATGGAATTGACACCGCTAACGTGCCCGCCCCAACCTGCAACAACCAGTTAATAATTATGTACCAAACGTTATTCAAAGAAGTTTTGGTGTGCTCGTGCTCGCCAAAACGGAATTAACATCACCTTAGACATGATTGTGTAAGCCCTGCCCTGCCGGCAACAAAAAAATCTGAAATTTATGAACCAATTATCATTACAAAAATTTTGCTCGCTCGCTACGCTCGCTCGCCAAAATAAAAATAACACCGCCTTTAATAATCACGTCCCTGACATGGAACAATGAACCCAAGTTTATATACCATATTTTCCCTATAAAAGAGAAGTGATTTTTTTTTGCTCGCTCGCTACGCTCGCTCGCCAAAATAGAAATAACACCGCTTTTAATAATCACGTCCCTGACATGGAACAATGAACCCAAGTTTTATGTACCATATTTTCCCTATAAAGAAAAGCGATTTTTTTTTTTCGCTCGCTACGCTCGCTAGCTCGTGGAATTATGTGCCCACCACTAACCTGCTACAATATCATTAACAAGAGAAATGTAGGGGGTTGCCTGCCCGCCAAAATGGGATTGACATTGCCTTAAACACGATTGTGCCCGCCCCCTACCTGCACCAATGAAACAAATTTTATATGGCAATTCATTGAGAGAAAGGTGTATTTTCGCTCGCTAGCTAAAATGGGTATAAAATTAGCCTAAACACAATATTGTTCCCGCGCCCTGCATGGGACAATTGAACCAAGTTTAAGTGGCAATTATTAAAAAAGAAGTGATTTTTTTCTTGCTCGCTACACTCGTTCGCAAAAAAATGAAATTAACGTCGCTAACAAGTGAATGTTCCCACCCCCAACTTGCAACAATACCAGTTTATATACCAAACGTTACTTAAAGATTTTTTTTTGCTCGCTCGCTCGCCAGAAGTGAAAATTAGCATCGCCTTTTTTGTTTGTTTCGGTCGCTTGCCCCCCCCCCCCTGACGGACTACCCCAGGTACGCCACTGGACGCCTAAATCTAGTACCTTGAAATAAAAAATTACGTATTATTTTGTGACGACATACGTACGCGTAACGCGCGGAAGACGTCTCGCGCGTGCGCTATTAGCTTTATGTATTGTAAGTTAGCCACGTCGACTAAGCATATTGAGTAGAACTGTTCTGTGTATGGGCAGATGAGGGTGGAGATCAGACAAAGATTTCACGTAAAACAAGACACGGTAAGAGGTAATACATATTATTTACATATGTGTGTGTCCTATTTAACATGAATTTTCGTTTGTAAAAATATTTCGTATTTCACTTTCTAGTAATCGACGAAAAATTCATTGTTTGCAGAATCTTGATATCGGTTGTTAGAAACTGTTGTCCCATTCATCATATTTTGCGTAAGTAAATTCTAGGATCTAGACCTAGAGTCTAGGCTATGTCTTTGATTTAAATTTTGATAAATTTCGAATACTATAATACTAGTATTTTAATTGAGAGGAATAGTGACTTGAATCGAAATATGAAGTCATGCAGCACAACTATCTTCAGTTCATACACTGTCTGTAGTCATTATTTGTATCGCTCATGAAATAAAAATACTAAAACTAGACTAAAAGTTAGAGTCTAACTTCATGACTTAGACTAGGTCTAACTTTTAGAGTAAAGCTAAGGAGGGGGTTTTCGGCCACTTATCGACAAAATCCTATTTTCTAGACCCTTTACTTCCTATTTATTATAATTTCTTGTTCAAATCATGAAGCAAATATTATTATTATTTAAACAAAAACAGAATCCCAGAAGAAAAAAAAATCATGAATTGCCGTGACAATATTCATTTCAATTTTCACTGTTTCGAAGGCAGTTATCTGCATAGCGAACCAGTTTTCGGCCGCATGTTCAAAGTCAATAGGAAGCGCGCGCCATGCGTTTCCGCGCTGATCTATAGCACTAGCGGGTAGAGCGGGTATCCCACGCCGGAGCTCGCCAGGCCGAAAACTAGTACTGCAGTGATCGGAAATTGGAATCTGAATTAGACAGAGATATCGTGTGTGCGTTACGGTGCATTGATTTAATACATGCGATGAGATACTTTTGAGCTTGCGACTAACACAAAATTGGGCTCTAAATTAGGCACATTCATGGGGCACTAGAGGGCGCTTCGCTTGCGTACGACAATCTGAATGGCCTTGCTGCGGTGGGTCGGCAATAATCAGCCCAAAACTTGGATATGGGAGGTTGGAAGGATATATCTTTTTTATAATGTTATCCGGTCTTACCCTTAACCATCCTATGTTTAATCTATTTAGAAATAACATGCGAGTGTGATAAGAGAAACATCGGGCCCATTACTGAAGTAACTTTTTAAATATTAGCCTAGAAATGACCACCAAACGGAAAAAATTGACATTTTTTCCCGACAAATCTTCATAAAATCTGAGTTATAAACAAGTCACATCTAGGTACACTAATACAAATACGATTTTCTGAAAATTCAGGTATGATTTATTAAGTTTCTTTCAAGTATATTTCTGCGCATTGCAGCGCCAATATTCTACACTGCTTCAAAATCACACTTGAATTTTTTTTTTGCAACGAATTTGATACGAGGTCCGCGAGTGTTCCCCGTTCCTTGCGTGTTGAAAGTTTGGTAATACATAGTTTGCATTGACTCGCACGAAAAAATGGTCGAAAACAAAATGTCAAATGAAGAAATAAACAAGCTTTTGTATAGTTATAAGAGTTCTACCGAGGTTTCTTTGTCGATTCAATTGATTATATAGTCTCAATTAGAATTCAGAATTATCTCACTGAAAAGTTAAGAAACCGACGATGTTCTTGATCTTAGTTATTTTCATTGTGCCAGCAGCCGATCTAGCGTTGTTTGGGCAAAAAGCTAGGCCGCTGCCTTCCCACGCGAACCCTTACGAGTCCCGCTAAAATGGCGCTCTGCGGAGCTCCGAAGCTGTGTTGGTATCGCTGCAAACTCTCAGCCGGCTAGCTCCCCACGAAGGACCATTCGCGGTATGGCGAGAGTGTGTGTGTGAAGTATGATTTTGGATTCGAGAACGCACGTAATGCAACCGTGCGCGTCATTTTCAGCTGTCGAATGTATACGACCAATTTTACATGTACGATTTTTAGTACAGATACTTGGTCAGTTTTCTTCTTATATCTTTGGTTTTACAACATTTAAAAATATAATTTCTTCAAATTTGCTCCTGACTCGGTTCAGACTAATTGTCTGATGTGTTTTCAAGTCAATTTTTTTAATATATTTTTTTGCATGAATTTGCCTATCTAAATCTGAAAAATACTTGAAATAAAGCTCATTTTATGGTACCCATATTTCTTACAGACACGCGTAAGATACTTGATTTTTCAGATTCGGGTAGCGGGACCGCCGATTACATCGCTAAAATGTGATATTTTAGGACATTTTTTTCATTGCAAATGTGGTTCTTCAGTGACACTGGCATGGTATGGTGTGTGTGGGATATGTGTTATGCTATTATGTATTTTAAAGGGATTTTACCATGCATCCAACCAATCGGCCGAAAACTGGAGCTGGTCGATTACCCCCTCCTTTACTCTAGGGTAGAGTGCCCAGTATTCGGTCACTTTTTTGGCCAATCAGAGCACTCGTTTAATATTGGGTTTATGAATATTCATATATCACTGGGTCAAGCTGGGTTGACTCGTATGTAGCTATTGGACGTTCGAAGAAAAAAAAATGAATATTCATCAACTAAAACCAAGATGGCTGAAAACGAATCATGTTGACTACCAGACTTTCTCGGATTAATCATTAATTTAGGATCTAAATGAGCAAGCTATCGTAAGTCCAAGTAGATATTTCTGTGTTATTTTTTAATTTCATGTATTGTAATATTGCAGCCAAATAGAATATATGAGGATGTAAAGAGTGAAAATCTTGTTGCATATATCTCATTCATCGCGGTCCGGCCGAACTGAACCATTTGTTCAACTCAGTCCCCATAGGACGTACTTCAGTCTATGTATAGAGGCGGTCAGAGGAGCCAGATGCAATCTCAACGGAACAACCGTCGATATCAGAGACTGAAGCTTTCGGTCTAAGAGAGTCAATGCTAATGCGTATTGACCTCTAGCGCTGCACTACGTGCTAACAGGCAGCATTTAAATACACCAATAGTCAATACACTCAGATGCACACAATCATGCCGATGCGGCTGATCAGCAAGTTTGACAGTGGACTCGCGATTTGAATTTTTAAATTATTTTTTCTAACATCGGAAATTTAAAAAATTGTATTTTCCTGCTTAGGTGTTATCAATCGTCACAAATACAGATTTTGAGTGAAATCAGTTGAGTCAAGGAGGATATTACAAATGGAGTTACAGCTAGCAAATTTATGACCAGGAGTATTACGCAACGCGCAAGATAACAACCGACATCAGAGTGCCGCTCGCTGGAATTTGCCCGTAGACAACAGCTAGGCCGCTCTCTGATGTACATGTACAAGCTTCCAAGCCGCCGTCCAAACCCATTCACATTAAGTGGAGTAAAGATTCGCAAACATATAAAGCAACTGTGCGCAGTACCGACTTACTAGTCGTGAGCATGCGCAGTTGTTGTTATTGAATTCCATTTGTTTTTCTGATTCCAACGATGTATTTTTCGTCAAAATCCACCCAGAAATGGGCTAGTTATGATTTTTATGACTCCATACTCAGTATGTTGTAGTATCAATTTCATAATTCGTTATAAATATGTTCCGATCTTTTGCGGAATTTAGACTGTATTTCATTCAAAAGAGAATGTTTTTGTCTTTGAAACCCACCTTATCGGAAGAGTGCCCAGGGGTGCCCATGCGCTTAGATTTGCACGTGAAGATGCCTATGCATTTGGTCAGCTTGGTTTGCGTCGTCTGCTGGGGAAAGATACGCGTTCAAATTCGTGTTCTGTGCACCTAGTGACTCTCATTTTCTATTCGGCTTGTTTATTTTTTTTCTGATTGCAATCTAACGAATCGATCTAGATCTCGATCTCCATAATTTTACAGGGTCTAACGTCTATGTAAATAAAAGTTAATCTTTTTATGAACAATTAGCTAAACTCGCTAATATAATAATACTTAGAAGTTTTTGAAAATAATCCTTGATCATTGTCTTAATTCAAAATCTAGATTAACAGTTACTCACATGCATTACATCATTCATGATGGTTCAAACTTCATTTTCAGCCATCATATGTTTTTTTTATTTTGTTGTTTTCAGGACTGTCCTAGTGTCATTTTTTCACTGCATCTTTTACAGTTCATCCCTAATTGTGTGGTGAACAAAGAGTTGCTCCTCATGTAGATTATATTTAGTTCCTAAAAGACTCTATAGGAGTCTATACACATAGGTCCTAGGCTATGACCTAAGGCCAAGGGCAAGGCTAAGGAGTAAGGTCTAGACCCTAGTTGATTTTGATGGAGGGGGGGGGGGTAGGTAGTGTTAAGGAAATAATTAATAATGGCTGTACTTTTGTTAACCACTTCATTCTGTTTAATCAGGCAATGTATATGTTACTTAATGATATGATAACCATTGAAAAGAAATGTGAAAAGCCTGTCATAATCGCGCAAGGCTATTTCCTCAAAACATTGCAAAACCCACACGGAATGCAATGTACAGAACCGAAGACGAAGTCATTACTCAAACGTTAGTGCTTCCTTTTATATAGATCTACCCGGTAGTCTAAATCGTAATAATCATTATGAATTCCAATTTTCGAATCATCAGGAACAAGTTTCAATTCACCGATTTCAGATAAAGATAACTCGTCATTTAAATCAAAGTCGTACTCGGAATATGTGCTTTCAGTCATTGTTTGCGATTGTCAAAATAGTTAATCCAAGAAAGCCACATACGAAAGTAGCAACTGCGCGATATCTAGAGCGATGTCAAAACAGCTGTCGTAAATCATCTCGCGAACACCCGCTGAGTTTACGAGGCGTCAGTTATAACGGTTTTTATAACACTACAGTCTACTGGAAAAATGAGTACCGGTATGGTAAAACCGGTCACTCAAAGATTTTTACTTTTTCAAGACACTCTTTTTTAGGGCTTCAATATTACACCATATCACATACTCTGATAACACGTAGGGCCATGCATCTCAGATTTAACATTGTTAAAGGTATAGACAAGTTTTGGAAATGCCCCCCTCTCAAAAAATGAAATGGAAGCTCTTATTACCAATCATGTGAAAGAATATATTTTGACTAATATGTGATGATACAAATTTGCCGGGAAACCACCTACTAATTGATATATTTGGTAAATTATTATATCTATCTGGAATGGATAGATATCGCATAGTCCCTTATCTTTCTGTGTACACTGCTTATGACTTTACCAAGACTGGGCCAAATTTTGCAGTACACACCAATACTTTTATGCTAGATGATCAACCTTTTCTGATCGATCCCACAACGCTGCCTTTAAGACTTATTCTGGCTGCATTAAATGCCATGCAAATAAATCATTAGACTCTACCGTCATGGGATGATTGTTTGTTTTAATTTGCTTTTTCTTTATTTTACATTAGAATAGGATTAGATCATTAGATCTACTTTGCCAGCTGATAAACAAAGGTAAGTAGTTTTGCCCTTTGTCTTTTGAATCTAAAATAATTTTTCCTTCTATCCACACAGAACTAGCCAGAAATAGAAAGTCTTGATGGCGAACTACGAGTTCATACGACAGAACGAAGAGAGGGATGGCGTTCGTTTCAGCTGGAATGTGTGGCCATCTAGCCGTCTGGAAGCCACCCGAATGGTGGTCCCTCTTTCAGCTCTCTACACCCCTCTGAAGGAGAGACCTGATTTACCACCCATTCAGTATGATCCAGTCCTCTGTAGCAGATCAACATGCAGAGCTGTCCTCAATCCATTTTGGTAAGTCAGGCCCAGTTGTGGATAGATACAGCTACTTGCTTCCTGGAGGGGAAAAAAAAGAGGGGGGGGGGTGATTACTTATCAAAATTAGCAAGCTAATAATGGTCACGCGCATATCTGAAAAGCCAAAAAAACATTTTGAAATTGAATGGCTTACTAGTTATTAGCAGAAAAGCAGTGTAATACTTTTATAGGGGCTAAAAATGATTTTCAAATCTATGATTGAAACTCATACATTGAAATATAAATTCTAAGAGTTTGTTAGATGAAAAATATCCATGGTTTGTCATCTATTTAAAGAAGGGGCAGTCTTTCTGCTCTTGTTTGTAGGTAACATAGTTTCAGAGTATGGTGAATTGAGTCTCAATTAGGCATGGAACTTTGTTTCAGCAGAATTTCTAGCATTGGTCATGTTTTTGTTGTGGATGTGTAATCTTGGTGCAATTGAACTGTATTCATTTAAAAAAGATCACTTTATGTATTGGTTTTAATATGATGGATGTCTATATTCATTTTCTCTTTCCAGCCAAGTGGATTACAGGGCTAAGTTATGGAACTGCAACTTCTGCTTTCAAAGAAATCAGGTAATTGTACATTTACAAGGCTCTATAAATGGAAACACTTTTCAGGTCATATGTTTGCATTATGAATAATTTACAAACAATCATATACATGTAGATGTATGCCAAATTAGCAAAAAGATATGCTTTTGCCATACTTTTTGCTCCCATGTCAATAAGGGATATTCAATCCGAATGAATTGGTGTATTAACATTATAAGGAACATGGTAAAGATATTAATAACGTATTGCTGGAGTAATGGATGTATTTGACATGTACAATGTAAATGTTTTGTGGATCAACCTGGTTACTATCTGTGAGTGGTACATGTGCATGTACCTTACTTATACCAATCTTGAAAATTGAAATAGCGATTTTGAAATGAAATCAGATATCAAATCTCTATTTATTCTATGAATGTTTAAATTTCCATTTACCTTCTTTCTCTCTTTCACAATAGTTCCCCAACCAGTACAGAGGAATATCTGAACAGCACCAGCCAGCAGAGTTGATTCCCCAGTTTACAACGATTGAATACACACTGACTGTAAGTGCTTGAGTTTATAGGTACTCCCCAATATATCGAGAGGGGTTATTATTTATATCACTTGAATTCTCAGTATATCAGTATATGTGGTGAATCCTTCATCATTTCTAGAATCTGAATTACAGTTTTAGTAAATCCTTAGTCAATTTATAGAACTGTCATTTCTGATTTAAAAATAAAAACAAATTCTTCTACATTTACATATCGAGCGACAATGAAGAATAATTAGAATGCATAATTTATAAAATAAACATTTTCCTTGGCTTTCCCATATGAAATCTCTTGGTCTTTCTCACTCTTCAGAATTTCTGTAAATGTGTGTTATGATTATTTAGGTTTATACAAATAGGAACCGGTATTCCATCTGGGGTCTAATGCAAGTTACACATACTCATACATCACAATTGATAGAAGTATTATAGAAATGATAATTCTTTAATAACAGATCATCAAGCATTTAGATTTATTGAAATGTTTCATATTTGTGTGATAGCGAGCTCCTGCTGCCCCTCTTATTTATCTCTTGGTTTTGGATACATGCATGGAAGAAGAGGACTTGCAAGCTCTCAAAGGTAATACATATTTGTTGTTTTTATTATTCATCAGAAAGGAGGAATATGTATGATCTGAAGTTATCAGAAAGTTCATAAACTGTTGAAATGAAGGAAAATGTAGATTTATCCTTTTTTTAATAATTTATATGTCACAAAGATTGATTTTTAGTTGGGCAAAATTTTCAAGAATGATAATCCAGACAGTTGGTCTTAGAAGTATTTGGTAGATGAATATGTCACCAAGACATTAATGTTCATGTTTGCTTTGACTGTGGCACCTTTTTAGCTCATAAGTTTGCTGTATTGAAAAAAGCTTGTAACAAGTATAAAAGGAATGATCTTTTTTCTGTAGCAAATAATTTCTAATGGTGGAAAAATACCCCCCCCCCCCCATGATAAAAGTAGCATCTTCTATTACCTATTTTTAGTTAATGATTGCAGTATGTTGAAAATGTTGCATACTCTTTTACTCTAATGAAAGTCATGCATATTTTGTTTCATTAACATATTGAGTAGAGATTGTTTTAGTGAGATATTTTCTTGCATTACTCATTATGTTTCTGTTCCTATAACATTGATCATAGCACAATACACAATATGCTTGTTGATAGGATTGACCTTTTGAATGTCATTTCAAGAACTATATTTAAAATGTATCTCTATTTGTTTCTTGATGAGCAGAATCCCTTCAGATGTCATTGAGTCTGCTGCCCCCTAACGCCTTGATTGGTCTCATCACGTACGGTCGCATGGTTCAGGTCCATGAGCTGGGCTGTGATGGATGCTCTAAGAGCTATGTCTTCAGGGGTACTAAAGACCTTACTGCCAAACAGATCCAGGTAGAATGAACCGATAATTCTTTGTTTTCTGACCTTTCCTTCTTGTAAAGACAGAGGTTAAGTTCTGGTGAAGATGAAAATAATTTGTCAGACTTCGCATTGCTGTCATTATCGTGTAGAAGAATACATCATAGAAGAAATGTTCCATGAAAATTATTGCTCTTTACAATTTAGATCCAAGCGGATTTTAGTCTGAAAAAGTTGGACCTTGTTTACATTCCCAAAGAGTATTTATTTTGCACTCATAATGGAATATATCTCAACACCCCAAATCTTTTTCTCAATTGCAGTTTATCTTTCTCACAGAAGAATCTTAACCAAGATACAATTGGCTAAAAATAATAATTTCTTAAATACTACATTTTTTGGTTTCATTGTGGGTTTGTATGAGCGCCCAATTCAAATGCAAATCTACTTGTATTCGTACAGGACATGCTTGGCATAGGACGTGTGCCAGCACAGGCACAGAGGGGCAACCAACAGCCACAGCAGCCACAACAACCACCTATGAACAAGTAAGCACAAGTAGTTTACAAGTTATTAGGCTTCATATTGATTGTAATGAATAGGCCAAATATCAAATATTGCCTTTTGGGAGCTGAGAAGGCAGTAACTTTTTATTAAGTGTGTGAAGTTCATAAACCTCATGTTTTCAGCAAATTATAATGATGACTGTGATGATGATGAGGACGGTAATGATGATAATGATGATGATAATGATTGTTGTTATTAGTATAAGAATTGTTGTTATCATTATGATTATTATAAATATCAGTAATAATGTTATTATCATTAAGGTTATTGTTTTCCTTTTATAGATTTCTCCAGCCTGTTCACAAATGTGACATGAACCTGACGGACTTGCTTGGAGAGCTGCAGCGAGATCCATGGCCTGTCAATGCCGGAAAGCGCCCCCTTCGTTCCACTGGAGTAGCACTCTCCATTGCCGTTGGCTTGCTTGAGGTAAGTGCGAAGGGGGAGTCTTATTCAATAGAGGGAAAGGTGTGGATGTGTAAACCTTACTCAGTCTATGACTTGTAATTGATAAAATGTCTGACATGAATTCTATATATTGGTTACTCTGCTAGTTAGGCAACCTATTTGAATTGCCTTTTGAACTATTATATTTGTTTAAGTTTCTTTCTCATGATGTTGTGATATGTTTGGCTAATCTTAAAAGTGTTTGTCAGGAACATAATCTGACAATGGTTTACGATAAAGAAATGAAAATGAATGAGAGATGCATAACTGGTCAGCAGTTGGTAGAGCGGTGGTCTCGTAATCCAGCGAAACAAAGGCAATGCACTAGTGTCCTTTGGTAAGGCATTAATCCTCATTACCAGGTCTCTCGGAGAGGACCTAAAGCCGGTCGGTCCTCTGGTTGCTAATACTAACAAGCATTTATGCTTTCTTAGCAGTCAGGTAAAATAACCACCACAATTCAAGTTCTAAATCAAGATGTAGTGATGTACTTCTATTTCTCCTCCTTACAGTGTACGTTCCCCAACAGCGGTGCTCGTATCATGCTCTTCATGGGTGGTCCTCCCACCCAGGGACCCGGCATGGTGGTCGGTGAGGAGCTCAAGACAACCATCAGATCGCATCATGACATCGAGAAGGACAGTGTCAAGTTCATGAGGAAAGCAATCAAGGTAAGATGGCAGATAATAGTATTTGGTGAAGGAATTTGATAAAAGGGGAGGGAGTAAGGGTTATGTGACACATGCTCTGGCAACACATATTCCATGGTCAGTGTTCTACACTCAGTGAATTTGCTAGACTTCAACCCTGGACCAATAGAGCATAATTTATCCTAAACCTTCTGAAAACCAATTGCTCCTCTATCCTCATATGGAAACATCTGCAATTGTTTGTATTTATGTGGAAAGAAATGTAATGTAGAGTCAACAATATTAGATACTGTAGAAGTAATAATTGAAGTGATATCTTACAATTCATAATGCTATAGACTGCGTGTAGCTTTCATCTGGGATTCCTTTTACACACAACAAAATAATTGATTTAATTCAGGTCTTTAGTTGCCTCATTATATGCAGGCCTAAGAGAATGCATATTAATCTGTGACCCAATAAAAAAACGCTATACCTTATACGTGTGTTATACCCTCGCGCGCCAAATCATGAAAATGTCTCGCATTGCCAATCTTTGAACTTGGCGTCTCTGTAGTATTCATATCTATTGTTTTAAATTACTTATGTACATTTATATAATGTGTTTGTAAAGCGATGTGATACAGTATGTAAGAGCGCTATAGAAGTGTTAATATTGTTTTATATTGTTTTGTAAGGTGTTTCAGTTTGGCTAATTTACAAATAAAAGAGAGTGTATTTGGGACATAGTGTAGACTGTGTATCGAGCCCAGATACTGGAGGAGTGGAATTCAGAAGAATACGAAAAAGAATCAAAAGACAGATGGAAGAAGATGATACAAGTATCTATCAATTTTTCACTTTATTATAGGAGAAAGATGTTGATGGCTCTAAGAGTTTGAAAATTTATTTGTTAACAATTATAGAGATTGATTAGGATTTAGATGTTTTTTACCCCTTTTTCTCATGCCCTTACAGCACTATGATGCCCTATCAAACCGTGCAGCTACTAATGGCCACACCATTGACATCTATGCCTGCAATCTGGATCAAACTGGTCTACATGAAATGAAGAACTGCTGTAACATCACTGGGTAAGTTCTGTTTCTGCTGCATTAAAAAAGATATTCCAATCGTTAAGTTACATTATAAGAAAAAGTGAATTTATATGTGGGCGGCTTTTTTTTTCCACAGCCACCACTACTCAAAAAAAATATGTATTCATGTGTCCTGTATGTAAAGAACAATGGTCAGTTCATTTTATCATTAATGCTAACCAATGCCTTTCAGTAATGTATGTCTTTTTATTACCCTAGTGGTCTCAGTCATCATTGATTCTGAGTCTCTTGTACTGGTTTTCACCAATTTAATTTCTCCTGGTTTAGTAGTGTTAGTGGTTTTGCCCGTTTTTTTTTTTTAATTGATTTTTTTAAAAATTCATCGTGAATTAGTATGTTGACAAAAGAATATATATGTGTTTGATGCCACAGTGGTCACATGGTGATGGGAGATTCCTTCAATACATCACTGTTCAAGCAAACCTTCCAGAGAGTCTTCTCCAAAGATGTCAAGGAAGAATTCAAGATGGCATTTGGAGGGGTACTGGAAGTCAAGGTAAGACTAATGATCAACCTTTAACCCGAGATGGAAGTTTGTACTAAATGATCTAAATGTTTTAGAACTGTATGAAAACAACTTAACAAGTTAAAGGGAATGATACCCCCCCCCCCCATAAGATAACGAATTTATTCATAAAACCTGAATCAATTAATATAAATGATTAGAAGTAACAGGTCGACTAATATAAAAGATACACACTTTGCTCATATCTTATTCAGTGGGTAAATGTTCCTCTGGGCATGGAAAGGGTATACTGCCCTCGCTTGTTCCTAATCCTCATTACGTTTCCATGCTTGCAAGAGGAGAGGTTCAGTATATGTGCTTGAAATATTTGCCATTAACTTTTCAAGAGGATGACAAATAGACAATGATCTACTCAAGTGGTTTACGTGTTTTGAAAATTGATGCTCTTGGGTATGCTTGTTGGGTTTCTTATTGTCAGCTAGATACAGAAATCATTTTTAATGGAATGAATATCGTGAAGGAAGTGGATGATTATGTGCAGCGGTGACGGGAGCTTGTATGAAAAATAGATATTGCAATTATACAGAATACTGTAGAAATATTGTTTTAAGAGATCAAATTTGCAAGGGAAGTGGGTGGTTCTTTGCTTGCTCTCCCTAATATTAGTTCTAAAAATTAATATGCATTCATGTTTTTAAATTTGTCAATTCCACTTGTTTGTTCAAAAATGTACAGAATGCGCACAATATCTCCAAACTTCGAAAATGACTGAAAACATATTTTCTTTAATTTTGATTATAGTTCCTCTATTTTCTATGAAAACACTAAGTTGAAATTGGCTGCTTGTCAAATATGAGGCAACTTGTTACATTATTTTATTTGAACTGCTTTTCTTTACCATATTGCTGTTAGCTACCTGTTGGATGCACAACATGCACGTAGACTGACAAGTATGCTTTATCATTGTAACCAAATTATTTTTAGATGGATTTTACTTTTCTATGTTCAATGAAATGATTTCAGTGCAAGTAATCTACATTTCTTTGGGAATGTGGTAAAATGTTAGGTATAACACTTTCTTGTAGTTTTGATTATATGATTCAATTCCTTTCTTTTTGAATGACAAACAGTTTGTTTCTGGAAATACCCTCAATCTTGTCCATATCTCGTATTGCTTTCCTCTAAATTAGATAATGTTGCGTAGACTTGCTTTGTATGCCTGTACACTAAAGAATAACTTTTATTGTATTTGCAACAATACAATATGAATTGGATATTAATATCTGTCATTTTTATTTCTCTTATTTCTTTCTCTCTTTTCATTTTTTTCTCTCTCTCTCTTTTATTTTCTCCTTCTTTCTATCTCTTCTATTTTCTTGTATCTATTTCTCTCTATCCGCTCCCTCTCCTTTCCCTTTCCCTCCTGTGTCCTTCTCTCCCCACCTACTCCCTATCTCTATCCATTACTCCCTCTCCCCTATCTATCTCTTTACTTGTTATCTCTTACTCTCTCTCTCTCTCCATGTCCATCTCTCTCTCTCTCTCTCCATGTCTCTCTCTGTCTCCTACTCTCTCTTTCTATCCCTCTCTGTCTCTCCATCCTTCCACTCTCTTCCTCTCACCAGACATCTCGTGAGATCAAGGTATCTGGTGCCATTGGACCATGCTTCTCCATGGGGGTGAAGGGTCCCTCTGTGTCTGATACAGAGATTGGAACAGGAGGGACATGCCAGTGGAAGTTCTGTGGACTCTACCCCAACACCACCGTAGGGCTCTTCTTCGAGGTCGTCAACCAGGTAAGAAATACATCATGAAATGAGACTTGTCTTGGAAATTGTATATGTATGTGTTGTGGTGTTTTTGTTGTCGTATATTGGAAATTTTTCAGAGTGCATGAAACCTCTCTAAAATGATGTATCTTGTGTGATAAATTAATCTATTGCAGGAAGAGAGGAAAATTCCTTATTAGCTGATGTGTTAACAATTCTGTGTTGAAAGTAGGACAAAGTACAGCAGTATTTTTTATTCTTTGAGTACAAGTCTTTTTTTTTTTAATACCAAATCAAGAGTATCATCTGATCATGATTATTGATTCTTGACAATTTAAACACTAATCATTAGTTACTGCATAGAATTATTGGAAAAATACATGTAATGTGTGTTGACCGCCCCCCCCCCCCCCCCCCCCCCCCCTCTAATCTCTGTAGTGGAGGAACAAAATATCTTAACATTTGGCACAGGAATGAAATTTTTAATTCATGACTAGAAGTGTTTATTAATAATCACCTGGTTAATCATTCTGATCAGGCTTCACGATTATTAGTAAAGCGAGATTGCAATTTGACACGTGCAGCACAAAGTTATTGTTTGCGGTGCGTTAAAAACCATTGTCCAAATTTCATGAATGTTGTGTCAAAAGATGGGCAAGGCTCGGGGCTTAAAAAATAATGAAAACACAGGGTTAGAAGAAAATTCTGCTAAGTTATCACATAAAAACTCCAGAGGTGGAACTCCCTCCCATACCCTCCTTGCAGATAATGTAGAATGTTAACATTCGTGAGCGAAATTTGCATAGGGTTGAAGTGTTCTGATTCTCAACACATGGAGAGAGATTGTGAGAGAAATTCTGTATCTTTCATACAGCATTATTAAAGTAGCGCTCATGATAATCTAATTATACATGTAGCCAATTATCATGTGGGATATTTGACAGCTGTTGGTTGGTAGACAAAGATTGTAACTGAAGTGTGTGAATTATAGAGGGAGAGAGAGAGAGAGAGAGAGGCAAACAATTAATGATACTCCGTCTCTCGTCCTTGTTAATTACCAGTAGTGTATTTACTGATCATGGCGACGAAAAGTACCAAAAGATTCATGAGGTTTCAAGCTTTAACTCTTTATTTGCCACACAAGTAATCTCCCTGTGCCGCTTCGTATTTATCAAGGGATAGATATACATATATACCAAAGGCTTCAAAACTATATAACTGTTTCCACTGCAAGAGTAACTTATACCAGTGTTAAAAGGGTTGTCATGGAGCCTATCAAGCCCAGAAATGGGTATGTTTACAAACCAATTCTCCTGTCAATGAGCGCCCCTTGTTTTGCGTAAAATTACACGTTTGGCAAACAGGTGACTTTACAGGGAGGTGAATATAGCAACCGAAGTGTTAAGATCTGAGAAAACATGTGTTTTATGTACTTACATGTAAGTGCTCTTTACTGATGAATATGATGTTAATATGCTTTAAAATATAGAATTTTTGCTCCATATCTTAATGTGAAATGAGTCTCTATACAAAATTTAAAAATAGATTATAGATAGAAATTTAAAAAAAAAAAATTAAAAAAAAATAAATAAAAAAAAAAAAAAAAATAGATTTTGCAGAATACATAAGATATCACATTACTGCATGACTTTTTGCATGATGAGGATACAACATAAAGTTGTTTTTTTCCTTTAATTTTTTTTAGTAAACTGACGGGTGTAAATGTATTGTTCATACATTTATTTTGGGTGCTCTTGGGTGACTGGCTGTGCACCTTGAACATTTTTTATATGAAAAAAGATAGATGCAGAAGTTAATGATTCTTACAATAACAATTTTGAGATATCTACCACAAGTTATGATAGACATCTCAATGCTTCCTTCCACTAATTTTCTGCTTGCATCTACATGTATCTTTGTCTCTGTTCTCTGTCTCTCTCTCTCTCTGACTCTCTGTCTTTGTCTCTCTTTCCCCCCTCTCTCTCTCTCTGTGTACCCCTTCTCTCTCTCTTGCTCTCTCTTGCTCTCTCTCTCTCTCTCTCTCTCTTGCTCTCTCTCTTTCTCTCCTTTGCTCTCTCTCTTGCTCACTCTCCCTTTCTCTCGCTCTCTCTCTCTCTCTCTATGCGAACCTCTCACTTGTCACTCTCAGTGCCTCTCACTGCTCCTCTCTTTTCCTCTCCCCTTCCCCTTCTTCTCTCTCTTTTTCTCTCTGTCATGTTGTTCATCTGTCCCTCTTTATCATTTTGATTATCTTCCTGTTCACTTCCTCCTTCTGTTGTTATCACTCTGATCTTTAAAGATATTAATTATTGTACCAAACCGAGAATAGAAACTATGGCATGAATGTCTGTAACATTACAAAATTGCTCATTTATTTTACATGATACAGATTTGAATGAGTTATAACTTCTCAATACTTATACAAAATGTCTGACCTCTGAATAACTTACAAGCATGTATATATACAACCAGACCGGTAAGTCTGCAGTTTCAGTGACTTTAAAAAGCACTTTATTTTTGTTTTCAAAATGGAGAAATTTGTTTTAGTCACTCCTCTTTCACAACAACATGGGCAAATTTAAGACATCATAAAAGAATAAGATTGGATAGTTTAAAATGGTTGGCAAGTTGTGAAGTCTTAATTTAAATTTTTACAAATAACTTTGCAGCTCAAAAGTCTTAAATATAGTGAACGTACACATGCATACACACTTGTACAGGTATAAACAAAGAAATGAGTTCCCATTTGTCTGCAAATGTTTTATTCCATTACACAAACACGTTTAAGCTGTTTTTTTACAATTACCAACTAAAAGGGGCATTATCCAGATGGGCCTAGTGAAAAAAGGCAATTAAATCCATCAAGTGTTTGTTCTTGTCTGTCATTACATTGTGTGTTGAGGAACAGTGACCATCAAGTACAGTCAAGTGGTAATTGGATACTTTGGACATATAATCGATTTTGTAGCAAGTACAAAATATAGACCTGTAGTTGAGTGCAATCAGACTCTATTACATGTAGAGCGAATTTATCAAGCCAAGCATTGATGAAGTTTAAAGCCCCTCTAAAGTGTTGGGAACCCCAAGACTTTGATGGCAAAATTTTACTTACATTGTATCATAATGTGAAAAAGGATGTCATTTTAAAGACACATTTCTGCAAGGATTTTCAAAACATATGTGTTTGAAATCGAATACTGATGAAGGAATACAAAATTTAGGTTTTCTGTGTACAACAGAAAAACCCAAATTATGTATTCTTTCATCAATATTTTTCTTCAAACACATTTTTTTTTGGGGAAAATCTTTGCAGAAGTGTGTCTTAAATGACATCCTCTTTCACATTATGATACAATCTAATTGAAATTTTGCCATCAAATTTTTGGCAAATTTGGGGCTCCCAACACTTTAGAGGGGCTTTAAGATAACTGTTTCTAAAATGTTGTGTATTCTTGCAGACAGTTCATGTCTTCATTTTCTTTGCTCATAATTTAAGGGAAAAAATCCATCCTCGATGGCAAGTTTATCAGAGGAAAAGCAAAAGAAACAGAAATGTCTCGGTCAAAGTTTGATCTAACTTGGACAAAAAGCAAGAAAGTGAGGAATTTGACAAAAATGGTGATGACTATAACGGATTTCAATTTAGAGAAAATTGGAAAATGCTGCTACATATTAAATATATGTAGTGTCAGACAACTCTCCCACGTGTTCGCAAATACAAAATGACTGCAATAAATTATTTCTAAATTGTGTGGCCGAGCAGGATCTTGATTTATTGAAGGGCACATTCTCTGTGATATATCTTGAGTACAGCCCTGAGGAAAAAGTTAATGAGAAAATTGAAATTTTCATTGTAATTTAGAGACCGGTAGTTTGTTATTAAGGTTGAATTTCCCTTGAAATCAAGGAGCTGTACATCTGCATACATGTACTGTGAAGTGGTGAACACATATGCACATGTATAGCTTCTCACGTTTACAGAATAATTTTTGTTTACAATCTTTGAGAAATTAGTGTTATAATTTGGTTAACATTCTCACATTTTTAAGGTATTTGTGGGAAGATCAAGCACATTGCTGAGCATTGATAAACCATGTGCTTTTTAAAAACAAAAACTTTCATAAAACTTTACTCACTTATAAAATTTAGGGATTTCCTTTTTTTTTAAATAAAGGAGCAATATCAAAAGTATATTAACATACTGAAGTAATGTGATATGAAAATTGAATACCATCTTGTGTTTAAGATTACTATCTTTTTTAACTTTCAAAGCTTAAACTAGATGTTCTCATTGCTGTGCCAAATTTAAGAGACATTGCAAATCAACTAAAATAGATGAAGAAGATTTAGAACATTTCTTCATAATGAATTTGTGTTATACACTGTAACTGCAAACTTTATTGACAAAATTCTTGTAGAAAACACAGCAAAGAGCTGTGAGTGATAAACATTTTGTTTGTCTACAGTCTCCACATTTTCCCCCAATATAATAAACATTAGTGCGCTAATTTATTTTTTAAATAACGAAAATTGGGCATGGATCTTTGAATCATTAGGAATGTAGGAAGAGTTGACGATTTTACATTGATTTATAGATTATCTGTGACCATACTTGTGTGATTTATTTTCCAGTGGAAGATAAAATCCATGAAACAGAAATCACCTCTATATCTAGTAGTAAGCAGCTTGCTATTAAAAAGGAGATTAGAAATATCTAAACTTCTGCCTTTTGACCAGCTTCTATTGTTGCTTGTACTGCTGTGATATGCTGGGAAGGCTGTCTCTTGTCCTGATCCTCCTTATCATGCAACTGTTTCTTCGACATACTTGAAGAATGAGTAGTCCTTTCGTCGGTATGCCTATCTTCCTTTTCCTTCTCCTTCTGACTTGCGCTTCTCCTGTTCCACTTGCCCTGTGTATCACGGCATTCCGTCATCTCAAGACTGGCGTTGCCTCCACCTTGGGCGGCTGATGCTGCTGCTGCCTCCGGACCCACACGGAAGTGGTTACGCAGGAGTGGAAGCTTGTGGACAGCCTGTGTGACTAGCTGGCGCATGGCTGCTCGGAAGGTGCGGTTAAGGATAGAGTAAAGCCAGGGGTTGATGGCTGAACTGAGAAGGGTGAACCAGAATGCCACCGAGGTGAGGAGGGGTGGTACCCTGCGCTGGCCAGAAGTATCCCAGCTGCACAGGAAGGTGAAGGGAAGCCAGCAGATAGCAAATACACCTACGTCAAAAACAGAAAATGGATATAGAATTCAGATCAATGAGAAACACTACACAGCAATAGTTCCCCTAAAACCACAATTTTTTGTACAGAGTGATACATTTTTATTGAAGTATTGAAGGCCTCTCCTTTTATTTAGAGAGCAGAAAATAGTGAGAATTAAAATTTGAAGAGCTTCCCAAAATGATCCTTGGAGAAGCATGAAGAGAGACTCACAATTTTAGTCATTTCTTGTCAAGTTTAAGGTTGTCTTCATTATTAACCTGCATTACGGTAGCTAAACATTTACAACAACTTGTTTCGGAGAGCAACAATACAATCATCAAATTATTTTTCAAGAAGAGCCTTGGTTCAAAAAAATATATGTGATGCAGAGCCTTATGCCTGTGACCTTAAAGATTTTACTTACATTTGAACAAGAAACAATTCTATTCTTGTATATTTTACATTAGTTTTGGTATTATAAAAGTTAAGTGTGCTGAAAATTTAATAAGCCTTTTTCAGCAAGAATAGTGTTAATTAAATAAGAAAGTATGGCAAGTTTCACTTTGATATTGAAAAAAGAAAGAAATAGAGAATAAAAATGGAAAAGCAAAATGAAGGCTCAATGATTCAAGTACGGTACTCTTTTCTTCTGCGTGTAGAAAATGCATATATTCAAGCTTTAAACAAATTTTCATAAATTGCACATACATGAAAGCCTTTCTTTATGTTTTATTCTATGTTTACGGGTTGATTAATAGTCATGAGATTAGGCTAGCCTTGTTCCCACTAAAGGATTTTCTTGCCTCTGTCTAATTAATTTAATGTCTGGCTTATATTACCATTCCTGTGTCAAGTTGAATAGGAGAGCTATTCAACTGTTCCATACAACTCTACCGTAATTCAATTAAAATTTAATGTCCGCGTTCCTTTTCTATTTTTTCCCCCCTCACTGCTGTTGATGGGCTGTTTTTGATGACACACGCACAACAGCACATTACATTCTAATGCAACTGATTTGTTAGCCATTAGAGTGAGATGCTGGTATCGCTCACCGAAGCGCAGGGAAAGCTCAAAGGGACCGTGCGCTCATGCTCGCTCTATCCCTGGGAGCTGATGAATTTAATTTGGTGTTGCCCCGCATCTTTTGCAGCGTAAGACGCTCGAAAAACAGTGGTCTCCGAGGACCGTTGAGTGGTAGCCGTTCACTTTCATGATCATGTGATAGAAAGACAGATAGGGTTTCATGCAGTCAAAGGATGAAGGGTGAAGGGGGAAATTCCTTACTGGTCACTTTTTTCCAGATCACAAGATTTGTTGCTAGATTTATAGGCCATTTTGAGTGATTTGGGAGAGATAAAATTTGATCTCTTATTTCTCAGAATGTGGCCAAAATAACCTTTCTGTCTGATATGTAGTTCTCACAGCTTGAGGATATTTTTTTTTATCATGACAGAACATTCAGTTTTGTAATGTTTGTTGAGTAACTACTAACTAGAGTATAATACCGGTAGTTCATTTGTTGCAAATACATGTATAACACTGTGAATATTTGTTACTCTCTTTAAAACAATTTTCTATCTAGGTTATTCGATTAAAATTAATTAAGAATACCTAGTTCATATTGGAAATGAATAATAAACTGTTTTCCAAGGTTTAAATTCATTATCAAAAAGAATCTTTGCAAAGCCACAGAAAAGTGGCTTGAAGAAACTCCACCAAATTGAGGACTTTGTTTAATAAATATTGACAACACCCAGAAGGTAAATAATTTGCGTAATGAGTAATTTGCCTCAGCATTACTCTAGTTTACGGATCAAAGCTTAATTGTTTGCAAGAAGAAAACAACCTTGAGATGAAACAAAAGCATGGGAAGGTCACCTGTACCCTATACCTTCATTCATACTGGCACTGGTGTTCCACTCATTTTGGATTCAATCACGCACTCTTGTGTAAGTGGCTTTGCATTAGCTTTGGGGGCTAATGAATTAATTAACTTATGATGGTTGAATACCTTCTAATCGTATTTATTATGCTAGCTATAAAAATCTGCACACTCTCCGCTTCACAAATTTGAGCTGAATGGAAATTCTTTTTATATGATCACAGGGAATTACATGAATTTTGACATTTAACGTCATAATCCGATGGTTTGGTATCTTACTTTCTAACTCCATGACTATCTCTCTTTCTCTCTCTCTTTTTCTCTCTTTCTCTCTCTTTCTCTCTTTCTCTATCTTTCTCTCTTTCTCTCTTTCTCTCTCTCTCTTTCTCTCTCTCTCTTTCTCTCTCTCACTTTCTCTCCTTTTCTCTCCATTTCTCATTCTTTCTTTCTCTGTCTCTTTCTCTGTTTTTCAAATTCTTTCTTCCCTCATTCTTGTTATTTTGTCCATCCTATTTTTCTGGGTTTTTTTATACATGATTATGACAGGTATTCTTTGGTGAATAGTAATTTATGGAAGACTTAATCTAGTTCCCTGTTTGCCTGTAATATTGTCCAAATGAATTGCTACTTATTTTGATTTTCATTGTAAGAATGACTAATCTTCATATCCTTTCGCTTTGCAAAAACCCCAACAATTCATTGATACAGAGGGAGTCTGAAAAGTAAATTGTGTGATTGATTAATCTTCACATCATCTTGCTTTTGTTTACAGATTATTGATACAGAGTGAATCTGAAAGTAATATCTTACCTGCCAAAGCTGCAAGTATCTTTGCTGCTCGATAATCCTTGTTTTTTGGCGAAACATAGACACAGTGATCCTCATTGCACTCTATGACTTTCCTCCTAGCCTGAGTACATGCCACACGTCCAATGGAAATATAAGCCAAACACATAATTACAAACGGAAGGCATATCCCTGCTGTCAGTATAACTATGGAGACTACCCCATTCTCAAAGAAGTCTGGAAGACAAAATCCATAAGTAGGAAGATATGCGTAGTTGCTACCAGACATGTAAGGTAATGAAGCCATGAATACTGCGAATGCCCAGTTCAGGAATATGGTAATCCACACTCTTGACTTGGTGAGCATCTGGTGGTATTTCAGAGGTTGGTTGACGGCGATGAATCGCTCCATGCTCAGGCTTGCCAGAGTCCATGTGGAGACAATTCCGACGACAAGGTATACAAATCCAAGTGTACCGCACCATTCAGAGGAGTAGATCCATCCTTGATGAAATTGGACAGCTGCTGCGAAAGGAAGCAGGAGGATTCCTGTACTGAGATCAGAGATGGCTAGGTTCAGGAGGAACCCTGATGTGATGGTCTGGATCTTGGGTGATCGCAGAATGATGATGATGACAAGCAGGTTTCCTAAGATAGTCACAATGGCTGTGAGAATCATCAAAGTTCCTAGCGTGTAGCTTAGAGCAGGACCTAAGGATTCCATTGTCTCTGGGTCAGGTTGACTGGATGAGTTTAGCAGGTCATCCATTGCAAGTTTGATCTTGCTCCTATTTTCAATGTCGGTTTCTCTATGAGCACAAAACAGTGACTTTCTTCAGAATAGTGTTCAAATGTACCCTTTGTCTTTTCTCAACTATCATTTCAAAGAGCCCTTTAAACTCCAGATTGCTCCCACAACTTCTTAGCTAGTGAGCTCTGATGTTTCCTTTCATTGGGAGTAGTATCCCTAAGTAATCAACCTGTCACTTGCTTTTTTTCTGAAGCCATGTGAGTCAGTCCACGCATGCAAACTTTTCATTACTATTCCAATTACCTTCTGGATATGAGTTGTTTTTATGGTCTATTATCAGTATTTTGATCAGGCAGTACAGAGGTCTGCAGGAATTACCCGGGTAGACATGATAATTGGGTAATTCTCGGTGTAGTTGGATGAGAAAATTATTTTTGCATGAGCATGTCTGCTTTCATTTCACGAAGGGTGTGGGATTACCCCCAAATGGCTCCAAAATGCAGTCTCTGTACGCTCATTTGCACATCATTTGGAACTTGATTCCGGTCAAGGCACACTTCAAAATCAGTCAGCTTGTCTTTGGCTTGAGGTCTGGATAACAATGTCACTTAGCCTCGTCTAATGTTCATGCTCTTGTAGAAGTCAAAGATATTTAATCATGGCCAAGCATATTTCCATACTGACTGAATCGTGCCATGAACACAGATATGCTCATTCCCTTGCGAGAAATTCACTTGAAATGCAGGTTTCGAATTACCCAGTAGGATGGCATTTCCAAGCGTGTCATAACACAGCACTGCCAAGCTGTGGAGTTCCACCATCGTTTTTAATGATTGCATTAACAAAGTTGAACTGTATGAGTTTGTTGCAAGGCTCCATGTAAATCAGTCAGAACTTGAAAAGAAGTCACAATATTCCTCTATTTAAGATGGGGAGGCAAAGAGCTCAAGCTATGTTCCCCTGTCTGACAGAAAAGAAAATGAGAGACTCAGCAACATCCGGCAATGTGAATTTGATTTATTGTCAGAACAATCCCAGTCTCGTCTCAGTATCTCTGATCATTTCTTATGAAGTCATGTTGATATAGGTTGCATCGCCCCGCTGCCGTAACGAGAGAGAGAGAAAGGGCTTGTTCGGTCTGATGCCTTCCGATGCGATGTGATCCCATTAACAGCAATTTACCCTCCAACAAATTTGAGAGGTCAGATTACAGCTAATGGTATAAACTCCATTTAACTTGCGTGGTGTTTCTTCAGAGTTGTGCTCTCCCGCATACTTCATTTATTCAATAAAGCGTCTGATTTTCCATATCTTCTACGCCTGAGAAGATCTTCTGTCAGTCATTCTTGAAATATGAATCTCATTTTGGTGTTGACAGAATTTTCCCCGCATCTTGAGTGAGAAATTCTGACAGTAGGGCCCCAAATCTGCAAGATAAGAAGAGAAAAGTGTCATCATGCATCATATTATCACGATGGATCTCCGTGGATTTTTATTTCTTTACACTTAATTTGCATTTCCTGCATTTGATGTTATTGCATTTGATCAAATTCATGCTTGTATAACATTTTGAATTTGAACGAGGTTAAAAGACCAAACTTTGTAATCTCTTTGATATCTTAACTTCACACACTTGTGTATATTTAAATCAAAGTGAAATGATTTTACAACATTGAACTTTTGTCACCAACTAATCAAATGACATTCTTTAAAGCTACTTGGTGTTGGCCAGGCTTAAAAGCTACAGTGGTTATTGACAATTTCGCTATTCACCATGAAAAAGGGGGTTATTTAACAAACCAAATACTATTTTGAAATTTGAACATTGCAATTTTTGTATAAAAGAGTTTCGTTTTATAAATACTTAAATTATTCTCTGCATTGGAAAATCAAAAGGGTTTGGTGCAACATTTAGCCCATGAGTTGATTTAAGGTTCGTTCAGATATGAAGTGGTAAATCATTGCAGTTGTGTGTAGCAATGGCAAATTTTTGTATTTTTGTAGGATATAGTTTTTTTCTTTAACAAAAATGAAAAGATACCCCAAATAAAAATGAAGGTCATATACAGAATCGCAGAGTCAAAGTGACAGTGTCATTGGAAAACTTGAATAGAAATTTCTTGTTGTCCTTTATAGGGCAAGTAGGGGATTTTAATGGGGGGAAAAACATAAAAATATATGAAAACGATATGTTGTCCTGGATTATTTATTTTGAACACACTGTTGTTATCTAAAGTTAGCTATCTTTTGTTTGTCACTAATGGGTCTGCTTTCTCTGTGCAAGCCTGGATGTATCTGCAGGGCAAACAAACATCCATTTTACAATAAACCTTTATATCAAGATATAGATATCAAAAGTTGTTATTATGTCGTCCGAAGAAGTCTGCTTTATAAGTATTGTGTTGTATATGTTGCAGTATTTTGACTCCATCACCAGCTACTTGAAAATGAACTGATGTGAGTTTGGTCAATGTAACATGATTATGTCAATACAATTTCCTCTGTCATGGTTACACAATACATTATTTCTCACACCCCCCCCCCCATCACTTACAATTCCTGTTTCAAGGAAAGTTTTTTTTAAAGATCCTTTGAAGATTTTGTGTTAACCTGCCCAGGAGGGTTTTACAAAAGCCACTTCTTAAACTTTCACCATCAAGCAGGCCTGTAACTCTAGGGATGGATGGATGGATGCGTCCATGCCCCATAGTGAAAAATTATTTCTGTAATAGATACATTAGAGCCTTGTATTACAGTCATATAGGAAACCCTGGAGCGTCTTGTCAACTGATATTCGATAGATAATTCTTTTAAGAGAAAATTCATTTAAGAGTCAAGAACAGAGGAGGAATGACTGTCTACCTCAACCTCTCTCGCTCTTTTGGCTTGAGAAAGACAAACATAGTGAAAAGATCATCAGTTGCCTGACAAGAAAGAGGATTGAAACTTTCACCAGGCAACATGTTGAATTTGACTCCCACGTGTCCCTTATGCAATGAAATGGAAGCGGAAGGGAAGCAGCTTTTACATTATTTGGTATGTTTTACCTGGTTTTCACTTTCTTACATTAAAAAAAAAGAACTGATCTGATTGTCATCAACCAAAAGTTGTCTCTTGGGTACATTTGCGCTGAAGTTTGTATCTTGGCTTACACTGAGTAATGATCATTTTACACTCTTACACACAAAATTGTACTTCTCCTTGTGGGTCATTAACTAATCACTTTGCTGGTCATTGTTTGCTCACAATTAATCAATTAAAAGATAGCGAGCTGTGAAGCTGAAGTAGATGATGGTTGAAACCATTTGAATGAACAGGTATTGACTGATCTCATCAAGCGCTGGTATGCTCAGTTACACTGCAGTTCCTCGCAGCTTAAGAATTTAGATCAGAGGTGTCAGTTACACAAAAAGAGGATGGAAGGGGGGGGGGGGGTATATGGGCCGTTCCAAACACTTGGTAGCAAGAAAATGAGAGGCATTCTTTTGAATCGGGAAATTGGAAATTTCACTTTCCCATTTTTGTAATTGTGTCTAGTATTTTACTTTAGTGCATAATATATCGGTCTCGTGCAATTGAAATTGAGTGTGTGAGCCTTTTGAAGCAACATGTAGAACTATTGTCTGGTGTAATACATGTATTTTGGTATTGATATACAATATCCTTCACTCTTAACTACTCAGCAAAATGAAAACTTGAAAAGAATAGCAATTGATGTAGATCTACATGCACTTGTGAGGCATTCCTCTTCATTGCCCAGCTAAATGAAAACTTGAAAAGCAGAGCGATTGATGTAGATCTACAGGCACTTGTGGGGCATCCCAAGTGTAATTGATTTTTGGCCTATTCCCTTCAAAAGCATAATTACTGTAGACATATAGATCTGCCCAGCTTCTTGGTAAGATTAGAAGGTCAAATTGATGCTTAGCGCCTCGGTATCGATTCCCAGGGCGACAAGACGACATTCATTGCAGTCAGGAGGCAGCTGAGATGCCAAGTAGAACTGCTCAGAAATCTAAACTGTCATAACGAGGTGTTATGTGAAACACTGCGAAGGTTGTTCCCTCGTCCTGATGTCAGGACTTGGCAGTTCTGCAAGTTCAGACTAATTTTAGTTCATGTCCTCATTGCTAAATTAGTAGAAATCATCCTTGTGGCTATTAGGCATCTTGATTGAACTGTGAATATTCCGTTCCTGTGTATGTGCTTGTTCAGTGTGAACCCCAGACAAACCCATTGATCATTTCAGCAACACTAAACTTTACTGTCCTCGAACAGATTTTGTATAAATATACAGGTGCCATGTTTGTCTTAACATGTGTCTGAAGGGATTAATGGATTAATAAAATAATTTTAAAAATCAACAATGTAGATTTGAAAGTGATGTTATAAAGATGAATATGTATCAAACTTGTGTTCGTTCTTTTATGAAGTTGTTTAATGCAAAAGATCAACCAAAACTTTGTTTCAAATGCTCTTGCACTATGTGTTTCTTTCATGTTAGATTAGTGAATGCTTCAAATGCATTTTCAAGCAAATAAAGAGGAACCTTGAACATCATTCTGTACCAAGTTTTTCAGGAGCCATCCATTTTGCCATGCAATTTCATTATAACGAGAAGCACATGCAATTTGAAAAATTTGATTTGGGAGCTTGCCTATGAAATGTGAACCATCTGAAGTATCCTCGGCCACCATGCCATAGCCAGTGTATCCCCTGATGACATTCATTAGATGGACTATATAAGAGTCAAAAGGTCTTCAACCCATCTACCTCTACATAGGGGTAGTGCCCTTCTGGCCCTCAACAGATGATGTACCCTAGTAACTAATGACATGTTGAAGTGGTCTCTTTAATCACTGACCAGCCACTCATAAATTCCAACCTTTACTCTCTGGAGTGAGGCAACGGCCATAGAAAATTACTCTATAAAGTTCATCAACAGCCTTATAGGTCTTGTAAGGAGGAAAGGGGTTCTAGAGCAATTTTGTGTTTATTGGCCCATTTTGTCCATGATTTTCCGCCACAAATTTTGGTTGTTGGAAATAATCAATACTCAGCTCTTATAATGGGATGTAAATAGAAAGAGAAAAAAAAAAACCATGTAGATTTAATATAGGTAATTCTTATATTCAGTGAGGGTTCACAGCTTTTGCTTCACTTGTATTATTCTGCTAGTACAGCTACTATAAATTCAGAAAGGAGGAGTAGATCAAATACAAAGGGTATTTTTTTAGTCATAGCTGTATAGCAAGATGCAATGTAATATCTTCCCCAAATAGTTCCATAGTCACGTTTTCTTGGAATTTTCTTCTTTTTTTTTTAGTAGAAGTTAGTACAGTTGTCTTAAATCCATCTGTTACCAGAGGGAATA